CAGCTTCATGAGGTGCCTTCTATTTGTACCCCTAATGAAGAAACTGAGGCTTGAAGAGAGTAAGTAACTTTTCCAAGTTTTCAGAACTGGTAAAGGCAGAGCGAGGTTTAAACCTAGGTCTGTGTGACTCTAGAGCACAAGCTCTTAACCCTGTGCTATCTTTCTACACAAGACACCAGACACTAACAGAAGCATAAGTAGATTTTGCCACTTCCTGGACTCCCTGCTACCTATTCATTCCCACCCCACAAAAAGTGTGTGAGCACACCCTTGCTCAAGACTTCCATCTCAGCCTGAATCCATGCTGCTACAGTGATATCAGTCAATCATTCCACACAGTGATTAAGCACATACTCTGTATTAGGCTCTGCTGGGCACTAGAGAAACACAGACAAAAGAAAAACAAAAAACAAAAAAACAATTAAAGTTAGTCCCTGACCTAAAAAGGCTCACAGTTTGGTGACAGAAACACTATAGTCGAACAAACATTAAAACACTACTGTCAGGATGCAGGTAGCTTTCCTGAAAATATAGAGGAAAGAGAAAGAAGAAAGGGGAAAGTAACACTAGTGTTCACTGAGCTTGAACTGTGCGTCAAGTACTATGCTATTTTTTTTAAATAACATATGATGAAATTAACTTTTGCAGGGAGGAGATTGAGTTCTATGAATCTTAATACATATTTAGGGTTTTTTTATTGTTTTTTCAAACACATTTAGGTTCTTGGACTGCCCCTCATAATCCAGACACATGACAATTTTATTGCCCCCCAAAATTCCCTCATGCTGCCCCTTTGTAGTCAAACTCCCCTCACACTCCTAACTCTTGGTAGCCACTGATCTCTACCCTCCATCCCCATGGCCTTTCTCAAAATGTCATATAAATGAAATCACACAGTGTGTAACTTTTTAAGACTTGTTTCCTCCAGTCTGAACAATGCCTTTGAAATTCAGCTATGTTGTGTGCATGAGTAGTTATTCCTTTTTATTGTTGAGTAGTGTTGCATAGCTTTTTTTTTTAATCTATCCACATACTGAGTGACATTTGATTTGTGGCCAGTTTTGGCGATTATGATCAAAGCTACCATAAACATTTGTGTACAGATTTTAGCATGAATATAAATTTTCATTTACCTGTAGGGGTACATACCTAGAGGTAGAATTGCTGGGCCACAAAGTTATATTTAACTTTATAAGAAACTATCAGCAAGAGTTGTAGTGGTTCTTCCTCCTTGTCTAGCACTTGGTAATTTCCATTTTTTAATTTCTGCCATTGTATTAGGTATGTAGTGTTATCTCGTTGTGGTTTTAATTTGCACTTCCTTAATGGCTAATAATATTGGGCATCCTTTCATATCTTATTTGCCATCCCTATGATTTTTCTGATGAAGTGTCTATTCGAAGTTTTTCCCATTTTTCTACTGAGTTGCTTGTTTTCTATTGTTAGTCTTGAGAGTTCTTTATTTGTGCTGGGAACTTTTAACAGCCCTTTTCTCACTTAATTCTGATGACAACCCTGCAAGAATAGGTATCATTAACTACCATTTTACCCTGAGAAAATTAAAGAAGAAGTCATTAAACTACTATAATCTGATCACAATTCTGCCTAATTTCAGCGTTTACTCATTACTTAGTCACCTGGGACATACAGACCACTAGAATGCAAGCTCTATAAAAGTAAACATCTTGTCAGTTTTGTTCACTTTAGAATCTATAGCCCTACAAATAGGGCTTAACACATAGCAGGTGTTCAATCAGAATTTGTTTAATGGTGAGTAAATGCCCTTAATTTTTCATGTAAGCTCCAGTAAAGAAAACAGCACTGCTCACAAAGAACCTGGTCCAATCGAAGGACACTGGTTTTAGGCAGGACCTTGTCTGTCCACCTCAGAATGTACCATCCCACTGCAGCAAATCCTTTGCCCACAGGCAGTGTTCCCACCAAAGCTCTGAACAGAACATAGGTCATAAATTCCCACACTGCCAGGCTGGTAGAACTCCCTTCCAGCTTGGCACCATCTTGAAGAAGGGCACCATCACCAATAGTGGCATCTTGTTCATCTGAAGGTCCCACAATCTACAGCCTCTGCTATCTAGGACAAAAGTAAGCAAACATGGCACTTGAGCTGCCAAACTAGCTTCCCCGTACATGAAAGACATTATATTTTCTATACAATGCCTGCTGAGTCTCAGTTTACTGTAAGTCTAAGTTTATAGCTCACAGCAAAATAGATATAGCAATTAGAACTGAGAATGAATCAAAGAAGAGGCAAGAAAACTATAAGAAAAAAATCACAGCCATGCATTTGTAATGTAGGCACTGGGGTAAATAGTACAAGAGGCCCCGAAGACATGCTTTGAATTATCCATAGAAAGTTAACATTCTGCTCATGATAATCTGTAAAAAGAAAGACTTACTTCAGAAATGGTCAAAATTTTTAAAGATCTAGTACTGAGGTTATAGTTCAAATTATCTGAAAAACTTACTGATATGAAGCTAAATTAATGAGGGTCTAACAGAGTACCCCTTCAGACCTTTACAAAGATCCTTGAGTGCCCAGCAATGTTTTTAAATGAGTCATAAAAATATCAGGTCCTCAATGGCCAGCACAACCAGGGTTTCCTCTCTGGTGCCTCAGTGTCCATTATCCAATATTCTAAGCCCTGAGTCGCCTACCAACTTTCTAGTTAGATCCTGAGCTCCGAAGTTGTCTAATACATGGTTAGGCTGACTTAAGCACACATTTTGCTAACATTACTTTCACTTTCACATACAGTAGCTTCTGACTGATCATAAAAACCCAGGCTAGCAGGCTACTCTTACCACCACAGGCCTGAAGTTGCAGCTAGAACATCTAAAGCCAAGGCAGGCAGAAGCTATGCTGAAAAAGAACAGCTCACCACTGGCGCGGAGCAGGGTGACAGCTTTTGTGTTATTTTAGAACAGTTTGTGCTGATGAGCTTTTTGTTGTGGTAACATTCCTCTAAAAAGAACATTTTCTTCCTCCTCTCATTTACAGAGAAATTCAGCGGAACGTGAAAAAAGAAGGAAAGGCGATGACAAGGATATCCAGGAATTGGTGGATCTTGGATCATATCACCTTCTTAACTGCTATGCCATCCACCTCCCAGTCCTGTGGCCAGGCCCCTGGAGGGAGATCAGGACACCTCTGGCCTCATTCATCACCAGAAACATGACTCTATTTTCAGCAGAGACAAAACTGGGTCCTGTGAGGACAAGTGACACTTCTAAATGTGACCAAAAGTTTAGATATTTTCATCATGGTTGTTGTCCTTGCCCAAGAACATACAATTGCCAGGTTCAAGAAGTACGCATAGCTCAGCCTGGTTGCCTGGGCCCCACTTTCTTCTCCAGGTTTTTGACCTGCAGCTTTCTACCGCAGTCACTCTGTCTAACCAAACATACCCACCATGCTTCTTACCATGTCCACATCTTTTCTCATAAATGTTCCCTGCTGCTCAGGCTGCCCCACCCCTTCCACTCTATCCAAATTCTACTTTTTCCCCAGGAAATCCCTTTTTTTCCTCTTATAAATCCCTTACATATTATCTAGTTCAATCCAATACATGGATCCCCGCTGCTGACCAATCAATGGAGTGCTATGTTATACTTGCCTATTAGTGACAGGGAGTTAACTACCTACTTACCAAGGAAGCCCCTTCTACGAGAAACTAGTGCTGCTAGGCAATTCTTTATTCTAGAAGAATATGCCTATCTTTTACTTTCCCTACTTTGGTCCTGACTCTGTCCTTAGAATAAGAGAAACAATGCAGCAGTACTTAACAGCATGAGCTTTGAATGAGATCTGTGCTGATATCCAGTGTGTACTTGAACAAAATCCTTAACCTTTCCAAGGTTCCAGTCCTTGATAATAGTATCAACGTTATAAGGCTGCTAAGAAAGTTAAAAGAATAACTATGCAAAGAGCTTAGCACTGTGCTTGGCATAGCATAAGAATTTAATAAATGTTAAATAGTGCTGTGGTTTTCATTGTTATCATCATTGTTACATAGTAAGTTGGATTCCTCCACTTCTAATGTTTTTGAAGATAGAAATTATATTACCTGAGTTGTTTCTTTTTTCAGGCTAAAGTTTCTCCACTAGACTATAAAGTATATGAGGACAGACGAATCTGTCCTATTTACTGCCACATCCCCATGTCTAGAACAGTGCCTGGCACATATATAAAAGACACTTACATGAGCTAAGCAGCAGACAGGAGAGACTAGGATTACCTCCTCTCTCATGATATACACCATATTACTATTAAAGATTTGGCACAGCCTGGCAGCTTCACCAAACTGCTGGTTCATATTGAGCTTGAAATCAACTGAAACCTTTAAATCTTCTCCCACATGATGACTTTGTACTCTGGGCTCTCTGGAATTGGAGCTGTAATAATGCCAAAAGGTGAAACAATAACAAGCCTTTTTCCATTTAGAGATTCCCCTCATTTTTACTATCTGGACTACACAACCAGCTCCCGGCTCCCAGCAACTGCAGGCTGGTATTCAGAAAGATCTTTCTAGGACCACTTGTTTCTTCCTCCAGAAGAGAGTATAAACTCCCAGAGGGCAAGATCTGCCTTGGCTTCTCTCCCAGATACCAGCACACGGCTGAGCACAGAGTAAGAACAGACTGCTCCCACTGTCTACAGCAGGATTACAGTAAGGATTCGGGGAAACTTTTAAGAGACCAACCTTCAGGTTCCCTCTCCATCTCACACAGCACAGCTCAGTCAGTGTTGTACTTCTAGTTGGTAGGTGAAAGGGAGCCAGTCCAGGCACAGATGCAGACATAAAGCCTGCACTCTGACCAGCTGTCTCCTAGAGGGCTGCTCTGCTGAGAATCACCTCCCCTGATAGGGACAAGTTCCTAGAGAACAAGCCAGTATCAAAACATCTCTCCACGGGGCATAGTCCATCAGGGACTATTCACACAGGAGGAGAAGAGAGCCAGAGCAGGGTGAGAGGGCTCACCTCATCACTTTCTTCCACATCCACATCACCATTGGCATCATCATCCATCAGCTTGTGGATGCTGCGGACTGCATCAAAGCTGAGCTTCTCATCCTCACTGTGGCACAGGAGCTTGTCAATCCGGCAAAACTCTGTACAGGAAAAGCAAGAGACAACATTACTGGGGCTGCCATCCAACCTCTATTACCCACCTGTTTCAAGGTCCTTAGCTTCTACCACATGACTCCCCATGTAGCCACTTAACCAACTATTTGAAAACTGTTTCATCTACCTTTTAACAGCCTCCCCGAGGACGTGCTGAGCTCCCCCATTTAGGGACAATGCTTAATCCTCCTAACAGTTCCCTTGCAGGGAAGTTGAGCATAGGAATAGGAATACACTGGGATCTAGACAAAGAACATGAAAAGGTTACTCAGAAGAAAAAAATATATAAATGAGGAAAAAGACAAATAGCCACTGAACATAAGAAAAGGTTTAGCTTCACTATAACCAAAGAAATACATACTCAAATGAAATATTACCTTTAATTAGTCAATAAACAAGTGTAAATTAATACAATCTTTCTAGAAGCAGGAAAAAGCACATTCATTCCAATGCCAGGATAATATGTTGTTTTCCTTTTTGTTCTCTTTGTCACCGCTGGGATATATAATGCTAGCCACAGGCTAACTTGGGAAACCCTTCACATCATAGGCCTTCCCACAGACAATTACATTCAGCAAATATCTATCATACATCTTAAGTCCTAAGCTCATCTGATAAAACAGCTTGGAAGTCTGGAGTGTGGCTTCCTCTGCCCACCACCGCACACAGTCAGTCATGTAGAAGTAAAACCAGCAGAAGAGGCTGGGCTACCCTAGTTCTTTTATGACACCTAATCCTCCTGCACAAACTGGAAGACACATAGCCCAACTGATTCATACAGCAGAGTCCGGAATCTAGCCTTAGCTCTACCACGTGACTCTCTGGAGATGACTTCCTTTCTCCAGAACTCAAGTTTATTATTTGAAAAAGTCATTTTAACTACAGTTTCTAGTATACTTTCCAATTCCCAGATTAAAAAATATCTCTTTCCTTTGACCCTGATCTTGATGACTACTTTCTAGGCAAAATACTCTTCAGATCTTCTCCAAAGATGTTACAAGAAAGACCCTGACTTCCCAGATAATAGAAGATACTAGGATAATAGGAGAGAAAATAAAGACAGGATAAAGAAGCTGCTGCTCTGAAGCCTTCTGGAAGGCACTGATCAAAGACCTGAAACACTCTAATCAATTTAATCATTTACTTGTCTGCTGGTCAAACAGTGACAGGAGAAGATCACCTCCCTATCACTTGCTAGTTGCTCAAATCCTTTTCAAAATGGGGAAGAGGTATAAATAAAAACATTTAAGTGTCTCAGATGTGATTCAATAAAAATATGTTGAATATTGAGGTTCACAGATGTTAACTGATGTACTCAAATTCAAAGGCAGCTGAAGAGCCACAGCAAGAGCTCATGTCTACTGACTCCCAGACCAGCAATTCACCTGACCGCCTTTATGCCAAGGTGACCAGACAGCATTAAGTTGATTTCATCTTCTGGAAACCACAAATGATAATATTGGTAAGAAGCACACTGAAAAAAAAAATGATTTTATTTTAAGGGAAAAAGAAACAGTAAGATAAATTGTATGCATACAAAAGAAGTATCTCCTTGTACCCTTATATTCCTCTACACCTGTCCTGCCATGTTGGAGTGGGGACAGAAGGGTGGAGTGAAGGGGTGGTGGGTACTGAAGGAAAGGGTAGAATGTATTCAAAGGTTAAGGCATTATTTCTCAACTTTCTCATCAACAAGAGCTCTTGTCATGACTGTTTTGTTCATGGACACCTATCCTACCCATTCAAAAAAATTGCAATAAAACAATAAGTAATGACTAGTTAGTTCATAAAGAACACAGCACTGAGATTAGCACAACCAACATAACATTGTCCCTCCCTTATTCTTGTTTTTGTATTACTGAAAGGCACACATAATTGCCCATCAGAGTTTTTTGATCAGCATATGATATGTCCATTTAAACATTTATTGAGTGCTGTTCATTTGTCAGGCTCTGTAATCAGTACAGGGCATAAAGAGATGAATCAGATCTCATCTTTGCTCTCAAAGAGCTGAATTATAAAAGAGGGGGAGATAGGCAATTATAACATTATGTACTAAGTGCTATAATAGAATCGAGGTCAGCAAACTTTTTCTGTAAAAGGTCAGACAATAAAAAATTTAGGACTTACGGGCTATATTGTCTCTGTGGCAACTACATAGGTAGCTCTATCACTGAGCACAAAAGAAGTAAAATAAGCAAAACAGAAGTAAATGAGCTTAACTGTGTTCCAACAAAACTTTATTTACAAAAACAGGTGGTGGGTGGCTAACCCACCTGGGCCATAATTTGCTAACCCCTGTTCTAGAAAACCATTGGTAGCACCCTTGAACCACACTGAACTGACAGATTTCTGACCCAAAGGAAAGAAACCCAATCTTTTCATTAGCCTGCATCCACACACAGGTTTATCCTAAGTAAAGCATGACTTCTAATAGGCTTTTTAAAAATAATAGAAATAGTTTACCAAGTTCAAGGGACTACAGGTCTCCAGGGTAGTCACCTGGAATCAGCCAGGCCCTTTCCCAAATGCCTACGGCCAGTCCAAGAAGTTTAGGCTTCAAACAACAGGCTCTGATTTGTAACCTGATCAAACAGACAAGTGACCTTTGCTGCTGGCATCATCTGGCATAGAGAAGGATTAAAGGGACTGAAGATGAGAGAGTATAAAATCTTGATATCGCATATGGCTATAGAATCCTGTCCAAAATTCACAAATAAATCTTTCAACCGAGCATTCCTAGGCCATCTCTCTTTTCTGAGACCTTTTCTACTTTATTTTTTACATTCTAATCTGGCAAGGTTTCCCACAGCCATCTGGAAATACCTTATATTTAGGGCCACCTATTTAGCAACACATTATTACTGCAATGAAAGAGCCCTGGACTTGGAGTCAGGACACATTCATCAAAATCCCAGCTTCATCAGTTACAACCATATGATATTGGACAAGTTGTTTAACTTCTCTCATCTTCCAATACCTTATTTGCAAAATGAGGATAATTATTCCTGCTGCATAGGGTTTTTGTGAGAATTAAGTAAGATCACATTTGTTAAAACATCTAGCAAAGAGCCTGCATAAAGATGACATTCAATACATTTGTGGTTTCCTTCTTTCTTCCCAGAGCAGCAAGTGAACAATTTCCATCTTCTGCTAACTTCAGCCACTTTCCCTGTCGGACCATGAAGAATCAAATACAGGTGGTACAGTCCAAGTAAACTGATCAGTCATGTGTTCTAGGTGAGCTAGCAAGTGACTCTGACTCCCACAACAGTTTTATCTATCACTGGTAACATTTATTCTACTGTGTTGCAGTTGCCTATTTAATTTATCTTCCCCATCAGCCTGTGACTTCCTTTTAGCCAGGCTTAGGGCCAAATCCCAAACAACAACGAAAAGCCAGTTCTTGATAGATGCTTAGTAAATGTTTTTTTGAATGAATAACTAAATACCAATTCCACAATAATATGTAGAATTTTCTAGGCAGAAAAAGATAAGAAATCTAAGTAGAGATGATAATATAAAACCAGGTTTTGTCCTTTTTTTGGCGTTAGGACCCTTTTATACACTTAAAAACTTAAAATCCCAAAACTGTTTGACATGTACTATATTAAAAATTAAAACAAATCCCAATATTTAGCAATTAATTCATTATAAAACAATAAATCTCCTCTGTATTAATATAAACAATGTGTTTAATAAAAATAATTGTTTTCTGGAAAAAAGTCATGAGAAGGGTAGAACTGTTTTATATTTTTGCAAATCTCTTTAATGTCTGGCTTAATAAAAGACAGCTCCAGTCTTAAATGTTTCCTCATTCAATGTGTTGCTTTGTTTGAAGATCAAAACATAGAATATGCAGTTGGAAAAAGCAAGAATATGTTAATAACCTTTCAGATAATCATGACATTTTCTCTGATACTACTCCAAAAGTCAACAAGTAGTAGGTTTATTAAAGGTTAGTTGCAGTGCAAAATCTGAAGCTACAAGGATGAACTTTTTGTACTCTATTAAAATCCACTGACTTACCTTGCACTTTCAACAAATCCATGCATGATTTTGTATCATGACACACTCATCATTTAGAAACTACAAATTCAATGAGTTAGGTGGAGCTTCCAAAATGGACACATTTCATTTATACAATATCAAAATAATCACAATTATTAATAACACCACTGCTTTCATTAGAAAAGCTTTAAATCTGGGGAAGCTATCAAATTCACAATTGCACATACAAATTTTCTAAAATTCTAATTTTCATTAAAAGCTGAAATTTTAGCACTGGCAACAAATACTACCAGTTTTTTTCTTAAGGCCAACTCACTTCATTCATATTCAAGAAAATTTCTGCCAAATACATTATATATTAAAGTAAAAACAGTGTTCCCTGAAAAAAAAAGGCAGTTCAGTTTGCAACTCAATCACACAAATGCTTTTCCTTGAGAAAAACATCAAACTTCTACATGCAGAAGTGCTTTATGCTTAACTTCCTGTTTCATCACACAGAATACTAAAGAGAGATATATTCATGGATTACAATAAAATTAATACATTTTTACTTCTTTATCAAAAACTTTTTTTTAAAAAACTGAGAGTGCCATGAAATTGAGGAATACAATAATTACTAGCACAGTTTTCTGCCACTGCTTTGATTCCTGTCAAGGTGCCAGCAGTTTTACCTACTAATTGCTTTTGCACCATTGGTGCAAATGCACACCCAGAGAAAAAAGCAAATAGCATCTGGGCATTATTATTAAAATGGCTTTGACCTTCTGGATCCCAGGAAAAGTCTTGGTGACTCCCAAGGATCTGCAGACCATACTTTGTTAACCACTGGCAGACAAAACCATAACATCCTTTTCCTCATGTCCAAATCTTTTCTTCTTTCTCCAAGCAGAGTTAATCATTTACTGTTGAATGGTCCCAAGCATTTCGTACATAACTTAAATACATTAATATTCATGCTCTGAGTTGTTTGCATGCC